TATATATGCATATTGCCAGTACCCTGTACTATATTTGTAAATTCCCAGTACCCTGTACTATATATGCATATTTCCAGTACCTTGTACTATATATATGTAAATTTCCAGTACCCTGTAGTATATATGCATATTTCCAGTACCCTGTATTATATACGTAAATTTCCAGTATCTTGTACTTTATATGCATATTTCCAGTACCCTATACTATATATGTAAATTTCCAGTACCCTGTAGTATATATGCATATTTCCAGTACCCTGTACTATATACGTAAATTTCCAGTATCCTGTACTTTATATGCATTTTTCCAGTACCCTATACTATATATGTAAATTTCCAGTACCCTGTAGTATATATGCATATTTCCAGTACCCTGTACTATATACGTAAATTTCCAGTACCCTGTACTATATATATGTAAATTTCCAGTACCCTGTAATATATATGAATATTTCCAGTACCCTGTAGTATATATGCATATTTCCAGTACCCTGTACTATATATGTAAATTTCCAGTACCCTGTAGTATATAGGCATATTTCCAGTACCGAGTACTATATACGTAAATTTCCAGTACCCTGTAGTATATATATATATGTAAATTTCCAGTACCCTGTAGTATATATGCATATTTCCAGTACCCTGTAGTATATATGCATATTTCCAGTACCCTGTACTATATTTGTAAATTCCCAGTACCCTGTACTATATATGCATATTTCCAGTACCTTGTACTATATATATGTAAATTTCCAGTACCCTGTAGTATATATGCATATTTCCAGTACCCTGTACTATATACGTAAATTTCCAGTATCCTGTACTTTATATGCATATTTCCAGTACCCTATACTATATATGTAAATTTCCAGTACCCTGTAGTATATATGCATATTTCCAGTACCCTGTACTATATACGTAAATTTCCAGTATCCTGTACTTTATATGCATATTTCCAGTACCCTATACTATATATGTAAATTTCCAGTACCCTGTAGTATATATGCATATTTCCAGTACCCTGTACTATATACGTAAATTTCCAGTACCCTGTACTATATATATGTAAATTTCCAGTACCCTGTAGTATATATGCATATTTCCAGTACCCTGTAGTATATATGCATATTTCCAGTACCCTGTACTATATATGTAAATTTCCAGTACCCTGTACTATATATATGTAAATTTCCAGTACCCTGTAGTATATATGCATATTTCCAGTACCCTGTAGTATATATGCATATTTCCAGTACCCTGTACTATATATGTAAATTTCCTGTACCCTGTACTATATATATACGTAATGTTGTCTGAAACATTACTCGTTTTATACCTTCAGAGACATTGTGTTAAGTAAATTACTTACTCCCGACACATCTGCAGAAACGTACACTCTGCATACCAGTAAATAGTTATTTATTGTCCTGTAATCGAGGTGTACATGTATCATACAATAAGACTAAAACAAAGTCCGTTCTACATGAATAGATATCAAACGAGTAACCATTTTTGTTCACTATTCAAGAACTTTCTAATTGCGCACTCGGTACGTTATTTGTTTGCTAAACGAATATTTATCAGTAGGACTGATTTAATCTCGTGAGTGCTCAGTGTACCTAGCAGAAATAATGACATTGAATTTAACATTAAATGCACTCCCTGCAATGTGACTCGTTCTATATGCATTGTTGGGTTTTGAGACATGTTTTTTTTTTCTTTTATTTGCAGTAATCGTCTTTTTGCAAGAACAGAGAATACACGCGGGATCTCTGAAAGACCTTTGGGCATATGTCAGTCCTATCTCCCCACGCTACAATTAGTCAGCGATAATGGTGTGATATTCAGACGAGATATGGCTAATAAGTATCTAATTAAAACAACACAGGAAACGTAGCTCGAACAAAGTAGAATAACTAAGTAGAATTCTAAACCACATGATGTCTTGTTGAATACATGCCGAGGATATTACTGTCCATGACATGCGTCTGAAGTAGTTGAAATTGCTGGATACTCGGCAATAAGCACCGGCAAGCGCATTGTAATACATCCACTGAAATACAGATTAAATATCAGAATGGAATATTTTATATATATATTGCTCGATCATGTATAAAAATTCAAGATCTGTTAGTCTCCTTCTAACAATACAATGGTGGGAGTGTTCAAAAGCCTTCTGCGAGACAGACAGACGGATGAAGAAATCACTCTCGTCGGCTCAAGGTAAACTTTATTTTCATCTTGAGTTCGTAAAATATGGACACGACAGTCACTGACTTAGATGTTGAGAATCACACGACTACCGCAGTTTAATTTGTGAGGGGTTTCCTTTTAGTGACTTATAATTGTGACTATAGAGATGATCACTCTAACATGGAAAATTGCATCACTGGTATTATGACTTTGTAAAAAAAAAAAGATGTGAAAAAGTTACCCCACCACACCCTTTACCGCAACTCTTGGAGTACGTAGCAGTACCAAAGAATATCATATAGTTATTTTTCTTTCACAACGAATTTCGCGATATACTGTCAACATATTGAACATTTTCTAGAAACAGTACACCCAGTTACGTGGTATTCTCTTGATAATCGCGTATCACGGGCTGTAATGCGCATGACTAAATTCAGCACACAGTCTGATCAATTACTGATCTTGTCAGCCGTAATTCACTCTTCGTATGGCGGCGGCGGAGTGATATCCGACGAGGGTGTGTTTATTCGGCTCTGGTAAGGAGGAGGTAAATCCGTTTCACCGCCGTATTCGGGAGGTGAAACGTTCACCCTATCGTAAGAGGGCGGCGATGCCATCATATTGACACGTTGAATCGTATGTGTAACATCATCGCCAATACGTAGATGCGACTCCGTTGCATTCCCGTCTGATTGGCTGCCGTACATAGGTGGCATTCCTTCGGCTATTCGGGTACTTTCGTTTATCTCCCCTTCATCAAATTCGGTGAAGGAATGTCTTGAGAAATTTGCTGAAAAAAAGGTATAAAATCGACACATAACAATGAATTTCCGATCTGTAATTAATAGCTATCGAGTTGAAAATTAAAATACACAAATTCCAAGGCATACCTGCATCGACATTGATTATGTCATCTTCGGAATTTTCCGTAATGTCTTCGTTGATAACCGAACCGCTGTTCGTGCTTCTTCGAAGAACGACGCAGTAGAAGCAAGCTGCGGCGGGCAGTATGACAGTCGTGATCAGGACAGCGGGCACAGAAGCCAATATGACGCCCACCGTGTCCGTATCGGGCGGTTCTTCAGAATCTTTCCACCATTCTAGTCGAATGAGATAAACAAAAATGAATGCACATACACAAGCTGTGTATATAATTTTCGGTAAAGAGCGCCCCCTGCGGCCTTATTTAAAACTGTTTAGTTTTGTTCCCATTATTCATTGCTCGTTGACAAGGGTTCTAATAAAGTCTTCTTCGCCCTGATTACATTAGGAATTAATGTGATTATGTTATTTGTACTATATAACAAGGTTCATGTACTCCTGTGACAGCAACATTGGGAATAATATCAATAATGCTGTTAAACACGATAGTAATAATATTGTGAATAATAATTAACAAACGTTGCCTAATAGAATAATAACATAAAATACTAAATATACTAATCAGTGATCCACGGTGGCCGACCACACTGTACAAATAAGTAAACTATTTAGAAAGAAGCTAAAACCGAATTATTCACACGCCTTTACTTAAATTGTCTATTATTGCAATTCTTCTCACGTAAACCCAGTTATGAATGTAGTCAGCGAATAGTCACGATTTGCTAGAGGAGGTCAGATCAATTGACCCGTTAGAAAACTGAAACAAATTTTGACAACCATCTGCGATATAACTAAAGAACACAGAATAGACATGGGAATTGTGTAATTCATTCAAATTATATGTACTACGGAAATTATGAGAAAACGCGCTCTGTAAACAAAATAGCGACAACTTGTATCACTCTCAAAGATAACTCTTACCTTCTCTTAACTCGCAGTTCTTGCCAAAGTATCCCTCGTTACATTGACATTTGGCCGTCTCCTGGCAACGCCCTCCATTCAGACATTGTTCATCTGTTTCACAGTATCGCTTGCAACCCTCGTGCTTTACCGTCTTGACTGCTGAGGTTACATAGGCTGGGAATGACAAAATACAGAATTGAAAATGAAGAAAAACCCATTGGAATAACGACATTATATGTAATTATCTGACCCCTTTCATGTTGTTCAATGCAATCTCTTTACATGAGTATCTTCAGGCCATTCAACATGTTACAGTAGTGAATAGAGGATTTTACGTTTTGTGTTAGCCGAGATTAAAAATAGTGTCAATAAACCAAATGGATTATTTTCCTGTGTTGTGCAACTTGCCAAATTCAAATAATATACGCAAAATTCAGACTTCGAATTGACCAAAAAAAAAAAACGTTTTGCTCGAAGGTAGACAGCAAATACGTGAATATATCGCCATTTGTAGTTGAACATTATATATTTCAACACACATGCCTGATGAGTGATTCATGTACCGTCCGTTGCAATACTTAGTCCATTAAAGAAATGGTCATGGGGGACGCAAAGTTCAATTTTGGTAATTATCACAATCCAATTTCCGCTTAAATTCTCGATGCAATATATGTTCATACATACTATCCATTTTTATTGCTTGGTGTATGAAATGTGCATGGTAACATGGTTCACTGTTCATTTTTGCTAAGTAGACTGGACAGGTATTCATTTCTACTACCACTTTCCTGGAACTGTAATGTCGACGTTTGAACACAAAGCCGTCGTTGCTAAGTACCTATGCAAAACCACGTAATCAGTAGCTAAACAGGGGGTGCCTAAGTTGTACTTCCAAATTGTATTATACACAGGAAAAATCTTCTGATGATTATGACAATCAGAAAAAATATTGCTTTGATAACAGATCCCGAAACATTGAAATTAACCTGTACTAAAAGATCGAGATGCCTAATCAAATAATCAAACATAATTTTCACAAGGACACTCTAGTTTAAAAGCCTTCTAAATCGATTTCAGGGTCCTGTTGGATTAGATTGCTCGTGAACTGTACTATGTTGGCCACAGGGTTCAGTGAGAGGTTTTCTGCAGATTATACTAAGTGGAAATGGAACTTAAATGTTTAATACGATATGTGATTTGTTCTCAAAAAATACAATTGTTTATGTGAAAACATATATGACACGGAGATGCAGGGTTGTGTCCTGATGAATGCACTACAATGCGTCATGATAAAGATTACAACGAGTCAAACATTTCACCGACAATAAGAATAAATTGCAATGACAGATATTAGATTTAAGTGCGAATTTATTAGTGTGTACGGCTACAAAAAACATGTTGCAGATTTTGTTATCGCAACCACGAACATAAAAATGAACGAGACTAGAAGTCCATTAAGAATTATAGTTTAAATTTGGCATCCCTGCATTCTGATAATTCCCCATTATCTTTTATTACTTTTCGAGAAGAGTAATATTCTTAACATAGGCAAGGATTTTATATATATATAAAATATGCAGCAATCTAATCCGGGTTATCACTGGTCAATTTGATAATTGACTAATTTGCGGTGGACAAATCAGCATAAATGAATGATAGATGTATGTGGCGGGCGCCTCAGCTCTGCAGGATGTGCCCACTCTTTTTGAAACACCTGGCATCAACTCATGGTTAGTTTCCAGGAAGTCCAAGTATGTTGTCAGAGTGTTTGCTAATTGACGTAGAGTATTGACATTGTATTTTTTCAGTGAAGATGCTAAGGTTCAACTCCTCTCTTATAATGTCCCTTTCAATGTATCGACATTATGAGTACCGTTACGATGTACCCGCGTAGGTACGATCACGTACATCGTAAGTCGTTGGAACAAGTCGATTGTTTTATGTAACCACGTGTAACAGAGGTGCTTCGACAGAAATTGAGCGCCTCACTCAGTTATATATTTTCCATTCTAGCTTATTTCTCGCGATAAAAAAATCGATAATCTATTCCCACCTCAGTAACGAAGTGTATTGTATTTTAAGAGTTTTGAAAATGTTGGCTTAGTCGTTATTTATTGCTTTTAAGATCAACCAAGTAGTACTGGTATTGTGCTCATGATACTGTGTAATATATTTCGGAAGTAGAAATCACAGCATCTTATTCGTTGCATAGTTTCCCACGTCTCTCAACCAATTACAGTTGTAGAATTGAGTTATTTTCATAACAGTGACGAAACCGTCATTCATTTTCTCATTATGGAAACGAAACAACAATGAACATATGACCATTTCTGCTTAGTCATGACAGAATTGTGGCAGAATTAGTCACGGTTCTGTCAGTCGTCGCGGCGCTGTGTTCGATAAAGCTACGTAATCAGAATACATTGTGTGTTTACACAACATTTGAACGTGAGCAGCTCAACGACTCCGGCGCGTGAAGAGCATGCAATGTTGTACTTACATCCTTCGCAGTGTTCGCCGAAGAAGCTTTCGTGGCAAATACACATACCAATGGTCTCAAAACACACCCCACCATTCTTACAACCGCCACATTCGTTGTTTGGATCCGGAGAACCAATTGGGTATGAAGGACAGGGATTTCCTGAAAAAATAGCATTGTAATAATTATCTATATTTAAAGTAAAATAAAGTCACATCGGGATTATATAATATTAAAGTCCAGTATAAAGCGTTTTTTTTGGTGTATTGTGGTCTAACCGTGTATATGGTAATTATCATGGTATTACTAATTGTAAGCATGTACCAAACACCAATTATTTCACTCGTTATTATACTCTGTTCATGAGTAAGTCAGCTGGTGTGTATATGAATTGTATATAGCAAGGGGGGAAGTTGTGAAACCACATTCACGAAACATCACATTACACAAATTTCAAAGCAAAAAATAATTTACATGAGTATTTACTACTCAGAGGCGGCTACACGTAATTTTGCATGAGGGGGTGAGACCTGCTCACCAACCTTGCGCCGAAAGCGCGACTTTACAAGGGGGTCCGGGGGCATGCTCCCCCTTAAAAAAATGAAATATAGACGCTCTGAAACGCTTTTCCTGCATTTTGAAGGTTTCAGCTTGTATTGGAGGGGCGATCGCCCCCCCTCGTGTGCCGCCTTCACTGATGTCCAATTTCACAATCACGACGCGTTAATATTCCGTGAAACTGGGATGTCGGTAAATTTCAAGTTTACTCGTGAATATAAACTCAACTCAAAATTGATGTTGACGTATATTCATTCAAGCGTTCCAAGTCTAGGATCGTCGAGTACATCAATACAACGGCTGCTTATACATATTGGTGTGGTAGGCACGTACGAACAGTTTGTTATTTCTGACCGCGGGGTTATAACTACTGCTGTATGACATTTACTGTAGCCCCTGCGATCGTCACTCATGTATGGAATAACATTTGCAAAATCTGCAAAATGCGGATTAACCCCCGTTAGACGAATACGATAGCGACAGTAATTGTTGGCTGGAAATCTGCTCTGCATTTTAAAGTTAAAACATGTCAATAAATTCAACTTCAAAACCCGTGCACCAAAGTTTCTTATCATGTGTTGTCAGTTGTCTTTAATTTCTACATCATTCGAAATGGCACTCACAAAAATGTTCATATTCGTAATTTGAAAGTAATTTCGTCGTAATTGCTGTTGTGTACTAGTTTGCTTTAAGGCCAGCATACTTGTTTCACGGAATAAGACCACTGCTCTATTATAGAAACGTGTCTACAGCATCGTAACATACATAAAACATTTGGACTTAAAATATTGTTTAAACGATATGATTTGTAGATACATAACATATGCTAGAATTATTGGTACGCAATTAAGAGTAAATGGCTAAATATATGTTGCAATGAATATTAGTAATAAAATATTAATATGCATGTATAAACACAATGAAACATTTATGTATTCAACAATTAGTAAATTATTAACATCTTTAGCTGATTTGTGCAATTGTCAACTGTTGATATGTTTATAAACATACATGAAGACACACTGTAATACACTAGCCAAAATATGTAAGTAATATAATCTGAATCTTAAATTAACCACATCTTGAATTAGCGAAATGACATTGTAGCTAAATTAACTAAAGTGATATTCTGGCGGAAATGACATATTTTACTATGAAAGTACGATGATCAGATTACAATTTATTTTCTTGAAACACACTAATATGTCATTCATTTCATTTCCGGCTTGTAATTACATAGACCCCTATTATTGAATGTATTTGGGGGAAATGACATACAATTTTCAAATGGACTAACACTCATTCTAAGTGTTTAAGTTTCTTGCTAGACGAAATGACAGCATATTTAGTCGGGCAATCACGCAATAGCTTTCATCAAAGACTCAATGCAAAAATACTCTCCAAGGTCGACTACTTGCTTAACAAAGATTGAGAACAGATGTCATGAACTGCGGTCTTTGCAAAATTAATTCTAATTACTGTAACCATACACCTATGCTGACTGCTCGAACTCACCTGCATGTTCTGATTTCAAGGGAATAATTAGGCACGTCAATCACGTGTTTATATACTCATGTTTCTATGCAGACAATGTTCACTTTGTTCTTACTGACGAGATGTAACATCTTCAACATGTTTCAGAATTAAATCTCATTACTATATCAGTACTAGCGTGACATTCAGTCGATGTTAACATATGTATTCATTGTAGTAATGTTTAATGGGTGTACAGCTAAACGACGTGCAAGCATTGGGAAGAATCTCAATGGTTGCGGTGCATACAGCGTCCAGTCGAATTTAATGTTGATCGTTGACAATTGATTCAGTCGACAATATATACGCAGTAATGAGTTCATTTATGTTCATAACACATAATGGCTTATTATTTTTAATTCAATGTTATGCAGATGTGGAACCCACGGTCTATAACTATTACGTCATAGCTACAACTATGATAAAGATACGTTACATAATACCTAAGATAATAATATAAGATTACTACGAAGATACCTCAAAGTATGCACGAAGACGTAGCGCAGCGGAGGTTGATGCGACAGCGTACTGTCTGAGAGCATACTTTGAGGTATCTTCGTAATAACCTTATTATTATACATCTTTTCCTACCAAGGATACATCATGGGAATGCCGAAATCTAAAAAGTTTAGAACAGAATCAGCGAACTTCTTTGTATGGACTCCGGTCAAACCCGTGACAGCCATGTTTGTTTTTATTATTAGAGGACGCTTACGCGCGTAATCATTCCATATTTGGAATTAGCATTTCCTAATATGGTAGGATGAAAATACCCCGTAAAATACCGCAAAATTACGGCACGCTGTAACCAATGAAGTTACGGTGAGAGATGTATAATAATATAAATTAAGGTCACTTACTTTTATCGCACAGGTCACCATAGTAACTGGGAATGCAGAGACATTTACGTGCAAACTCTATACAGGTTCCTCCATGCAAACAACCGCCACATGGATCCCAGCTTATCAAGTAATCTGAAATACACACATAATGTAGATCAGATATCAACCTGGAACGTTTCCGATTACCTATCCACTTCAACACCTAAGCAATGAATTGTACTCATCCAAACATGATAACGTATACTCCATCAGTGACGTATTACGTATGTAATAGATATATTTATTAATGCAATGCATGTACACTGATCAATTTGATAACAAGTCCATTGTCTGCTCGGTAGGGAATTAGAGTACTGAATGTGTACGGTACAGTATAATACTAAGCTGATATATCTGACGGTGGACATTGCAAATGAGACTATGAAGCGATTCGCCTACCATTTGAGCAACACTAAAGTGATCACAGAGATGGTTCAATACAATAAATACCGAGAGCTTAATGTGTACCATGCACGCATGTTAAAATGGCATTGTGACAACGATGAGATATTTACAGGGAATAAAAACAAATACATACCCAGTATATTTATGGTTATTATGACAAACCCAAATTGAAAAAAAAAAAAAAAACATTTCGACGCATTGACTAAGGGAAAAGATTGACAGAAAAGCGCAGTAATGTATATGTATTTGCACCTGTCGGAAACAGAAAGCTGAAATGTACTCGATCAATAAACAAGTCAATTCGAATTTTGCTAGGTTAAAAATAACACGCTGGTGATGCATGTATGTAACTATGCAATAGAACATATGATTCAAATAAGACGAGGAAGCCTATATTGTCAGATGCACGTTATTTAATGCACGCCGGGTCGCATACAAATATACCATAATCTCAAAGAAAGGCTTAGGAATTAGTAAAGTCACTATTACACGTCTTGTTCATCTTCCGACGAGTTATCCAATGACCGGACAGATGTTATGAGCATGCGCATAATCTCAGTTATAAAGACTGTATAAACCATGATCTGTATAACAACTTACAAGCAGTGACCACACTATTTCACGAAATAACTGTAACGTATGAGTCGATTTGTTGAATGAGAATAAAAATATACATATATTCATTCGAAACGTTAAATAATGTAATCTCCATCATTATAAATACAGAAGCGGTGATACTATACAATACTATGTAAATGCCATTTCCACTGTGATTAATTTCAATCGCATTTAGAGCATTTCTCTGATTAAAATCGGTGCCAGACTGGCAGGCTCGTGAACTCGTACCAATGTCTCACACCGACGTACTTCAAAATAGGAAGATAAATTATAATCATGGATTATATGTATGAACTAACTGAATATCATAACCTGGAGGATAATGTAAGACATTTGCTGATGGTATTATTATTCGAGAGTAGCGCGATTATACCCTAGTCACGTAGGTGAATCTATAGTGAGACCCAGATAACTCATTAAATAATTGGCCGCTTTAACAATCGTACGAAGACGAGCAATCGCCGATACACATGATACAGCTTCACAAATTGGAATGACAACCCAGACGTCACGATTCTGAAAATTGAGTTGTCAACGATTCGGAACAAGATTTACACCTGCGTGATTTAGTTTTGCCCATGGGAATAATATTTTCTGCATTTCGAACAGTTAAAACGATTGAGCTTACCATCAAGCCAGTTTGCACCTGTCCCCGAATGTAAAGACTGTGTCAAATAAAAATAAGCTAAGCTGCAAGAACATATTTCATAGAGTCACATCGCCATAATAACGATTTCAAATACTGTTCTATTTAATATTCTTGTTGTCGTAGTCATAGAGCCTACATGTGACCTTTCATGGCAGTAAAAACATTCACTACTAAATATGTGTATTATTACCAAGGGACCGGCATTGCTGTAGCGTTGAGTAATAAAAAATAATTATTGAGTACAAATACGATATCAAAGTTGTAATAAATGGCTTGATTGATTTGAAACCAATTAGCGATGGACTTTAAGCACACTAGCTCCGATAATAGTCTTATCATATAAATATTTATAAATACGACTAGTCATCAGTTCCGTGAATGATAATGACTGGACAAATTATTATATACCGAATCAGCACTGCCTTGTCAGAAAACTAATACATAGAAAAGTCATATATATGCCCACATTGGTGGACAGATGTGAATTCAAAAAAATTGTGTTGATATTGAATTCAAATTAGTAAAAAACTATGGACTATCATTTCCATTCAATTATCAGTTGTTATATACCCATTTGTAATTTCTCAAATGCGCTGACTAATAACGCTGCGCAATAATGACTGTCGGGATCAAACATTACAATTGCCATTTAGTGTCATATCGGTAATTCTAAAACTTTCGTCGAGCTAAATAATTATTGATTAAGTGTCATGAGGTCATTATCCGTGAACTTTCATCCACCAGATCAAAGATAGGCAGGATGAGCCAGAAGCACCAATCACTATCAAATGGCAGGACATTGTAATGACATAAACTCACCCCAATAATAATGAGCATTGATTGACATTAAGGATTGATTAGCAAGATTGTTGAACTTATAATGTCAACTGTCGACTATCAGGACTGTTGAGTGTCAACACTGAACATCGACTAGCAAGGCTGTTGAGTGTTGACTAGCAAGACTGTCGAGTGTTGACTAGCAATGCCAGGGGCAGATCTAGGATTCTGGAATGGGGGGGGGGGGGCGATAAGTTGGCCGAAGGCCAAGTTAGCGAGCGCTGATGGCGCGAAGCCCTGTTGGTTGTTAAAAATAGGGGGGCCGCGGCCCCCTCGGCTCCCTCTAAATCCGCCAATGT